ATGGGAAAGAAAAGGTAAACAGAGAAGAAGAAAAATATCAATGAATACAATCAAAAAGTAGTGCACTATATTTTGTAACAACTGAAAAATAATTAGCAAGCTGAAATATAATAGTAGTATGACGTATTATAATAATATATAATAATATATATCATAAATTTTACATTTAATTAATCCAAAAGATCATACTCGAACTACGTGATAATCTATTCCTATGATTATTTGTATGAGTTTTTGTTTATTTGTATGGAACGCCACAAGCGTATCGAATAAAATAAAATAAAAACAATGTTTGTGTAACTGCACACCTTCTTACACAGTCCTCTCAACCAGTGTTTACAGACTACAGCTTTATCTCCGACTATGTGCCTTAGCGGGCATACTTGACCCATTGTGCATGCACCTCTAAGGTAATTCAGACAAACTCCTCGACCGCTCTTATCCATACCAGCGAACGGGACCTGTATGTGTCACATTTTTGAAAAAAGACCGAAATGATGGAAAAATTATTATGGGTAATGAACTCACTTCTTTGGCACCAATTTGATGAAGCAGCGCTTCTTCTACATCTGTCATTTCAGCCTCGATTCCACCAATCACCTCATCTATGGTTAGCGGGATTTTCAGCCTCATCAACGACGTTGTCGTAGTTGGTTGAAAAACCGAGACCAGTTGCCGGTTAGCAACGAGCATTTTGTTGCAACTCTAAAAAAAGGAGATAATTATGGAGCTGAGGAGCGTGATCACTGAAAAAAATGACGACGGGAGATAAGACAAAATACGAAGGCAATAGTGATGTGACTGAATCATAAAAAAGACCCTTCAGCAATCTTTTTTTTTTTGATTGACACCTATGATTTCTCAACATGAAACTTGTAATGAGTCAGGATTATCGATCCAGAGTTGATATAACGTTAGCATTCTTTTCTAAGAACGCACATTAATAACTTCGCGTTCTTTCGCATTTACAGAAAACCTGAAAAACAATTTGATACCATTAAATGCGCAGTGCATGCCAAGAACTTTGATGAGACAAGAATACTAGCAGAAAATTGTAGAATTACATGATATACGATAAGCCAAAGATCTGTATAGATAAAAAACAGAAGTTCCATTTGAAAGTTCACGAAATTACCGTGGAATCGTGTTCAGCAGTGAACGCTCGCACCGGCGCGCGCGGCATGTTGGTGCGCTCCATTCCAATTTCGGAA